GGCATTGTGTTTCATTTCCTCTTTTCCATGCCCCACATCCAGTCCGTGCCGAGCCCGAGTCTAGCTCTCAAGTCCACCCACTTCTTCAGCTTCTGTTTTCTATTCCAGCACATCATCATCTCCACTGGGCCGGCCCCAAGGCCTCCAAACTTGTCTCCTGTCTGCCTCCTGCTGCCTTTCTCCCTCCCCTCCATCCCCCACACAAGGCCAGGGGCGGTCTTTATAATGTAAATCGGATTATACACTCAGGTAGGTCTGCTTCCAGAACTCCCACTGTGGCTGCAGATACTCAGGGAGCTCTGGGGAGTCTCCCCCACTGGCCACGATGGCTCAGGGGGAGGTTCTTACGCCAAGCACGCCAAAAGCTAGAAGATGACTGGACAGAACCCCGGCACATCAAAAGCTAGCAAAATAACTGGGTATTTTTAAAAAGTTCTCCCCTTCCTGTTAGAACTGTGGGCTTGAGCAGGAAGGGGAGACGGTCTTGGAGATGGGAGTCCACCATTCCCCCCGGTTGTGCGGCACCTGAACAAACCTCTTTCCTTCTGCACCAGCACCTGCCTCATCAATTTGGCTTTCCTTGTGGCAGGCCGCCAACCCTGTATTTCTGTAGCACTGCCACTACCACTTTTTGTAATGGCTTCATCATGAGAAAGCTTCACTGGGTATCCTGACCTCATCTGGTGGCTCCAGGAAGCGAGTGACACCCAGGAGTTGCCTAACCTGTCTGAGCCTTACTCTCAACTTTCAAATGGGGATAACAGTCCCTACTTCCTAAGGTTTGAAAGATAATGTACTGCACAAAGTCTCCACTGAAGAAATATTGGATGAGCCCTAACTGATTTGGCTCAGTGGATAGTGTGTTGGCCTGTGGACTGAAATGAAAGGTCCCAGGTTTGTTTCCGGTCAAGGGCATGTACCTGGGTTGCGGGCACATCCCCAGTGGAGGGTGTGCAGGAGGCAGCTGATTGATGTTTCTCTCTCATCCATGTTTCTAACTCTCTATCCAACTCTCTCTCCCTCTCCCTTCCTCTTTGTAAGAAATCAATAAAATATATATTAAAAAAAGAAAGAAACTACGACTCCCTTGACCCTCAGGGGAGGAAGCCCAGCCAGAGAGCGTCAGGCGGCCCTGGGTGCTGCTGGGAGATGTAGTCCCGTCTGGTCTGGGGCGGGCAGGCTCACCTGAGGACGTAGGAGCGAGTGGGCGCAGTCTTGTAGATGTACTGCGCCAGCCACCACTGCACCGTCATGTTCCAGTACCGCATGCCCTCCCGCACCCGCGTGCAGAAGTCTGTGCCGTAGCAGTCGATGTTGCGGATGGTCTCGTAGTCGTACTCCAGGGCAGCTGCCTCCTCCAGACTGGGGGGTGGAGGGTGGGGGTGGGGGACAGACATGCAACTCAGCCAGGCCCCCTCCCGATGCCGGTTGTTGTCCCAGCCCCGATGCTAAGGAGGGGGTGGAGGGCAGGTGACAGCCCCCTGGCTGTCACAGTGGCTCGGGCAACAGGGGAGGGTAGCCCAAAGGGAGCCTTTTTGGGGAGAAAGGTGGTGGGGTGCACAGCTCACCAACAATCGTGTTCTCTTGGCAATGGGGCCCTGAGAAAAAGCCTTGAAGGGCTGTGGTTGCTAGGCAGTGAGTCCTTAGCAACCTGACCCTTCACGGGTCCCCGATGCCAGGGAAAGGCCATTCCTTAGCTACCAGTGTGCTCAGAGAAGCCTCAAGTGCTGTCCCCTCTGAGTTGTCGGACACTGTGGTTGCTAGGGAAGTAGCATCCTTAACAACGAGGTGGCCTGTGGTTGCTAGGGAGATGTTCTAGGCCTGGATGGTCTCTGTTGCTAGGGTTTGAAAGATCATTCTTTAGCAACAAGATCTAGGATGTTTAGAAAAGGTTCCGGAAAGGGCCTTTGGCTATTGGTTCTTACGATTGTTCAAGAAGTGTCACCCCCAGCAATATGGTGGTTCCTGGTTTACTGGTGCCAACACCCCCAGCAGCAGAGAGGCGCATCCTTGGCCCACCTGGATGCCTGGTGGCTTCTGATAATGGGAGGGGAGCCATCCACTCGGAGGGGGGCAAGCAGGGCTAGAAAAGCCTTTTGTTCCCACCTGGCATTTTCGGGGGGACGTCCTCTCCAGCCACTGGAGGTCCCCCATGGTTAGAAGGGCAGTGGAATAAATTCCCGTGGGGGTGCCACCTCCCCCACGTGGAATGGCAGTTCGTGTCTGCTTGGGCACAGCCCCACCCGATCAAGGAATATTTCATAATTTACACCGAGGAGGGGCTGCTCCCCCAGTCCTGGCTGAGATGACTGTGGTTGCTAGGAACAGAGAGGCAAGTCCATTCCTGGTTGCTAGGGGCACCATTTCCCTAGCAACACAGGAGCAACAGTTCCTTAGCAACAAGAGAGCCCATAGTTACCAGCAGTGTGACTTACCTAGCAGTGAAGGAGTTGGGGGTGTAGCCTTGTTAGCAACAATGTCAATCCATTGTTACCAGGGGAACTGGCTTCCTTAGCAACATAGGAAGGGGACCTGCGGTTGCTAGGAATGGTGTCCCCTCCGCTAGAGGCCAGGGCGTCAGGGATGCCATTTCCTTAGAAACAGGGGAACTGCAGGCTGTGATAACATCCCTTTGGGGGGTGGCGGGGAAAAGGGAAATGCTGGCTCCTAACGACAAAGGGGCAAGTTGGTGCTATTTTTATAGCAATAAAGAGCAACCCTTCTGGCTGGAAGGAGTGGACCATGGTTGCTAGGGAACCGTTTTCCTAGCAACAAAGGGCAACCCATCACTGCCTATCGATGGCATCCTGAACAACCAGGAACAATCGGGTTATTGGAGTGACACTTCCATGGCAACCGCGGGGCCACACATGGTTGCTAGGTTACTACCTTTCTTTTCCTAGCGACAGAGAGCAACTCGCCATCCCAAGGGGTGGTAGGCACTAGCAACAAGGGACGATCCATAGGTATCAGAAATGCTGTTCCCTAGGGCAGGGGAAGGCGAACTGTGGGTGGCCCAGGGGCGACGTTTTGACAACAACAGGTGGTGGCCCTGGCCCAGATCCCCGGATCCCCGCTATCCTCCCTGCTAGGGGCAGGGCCAGCCCGTGGTGATGGGGCTTGCCCGGTCTGGGGTCACCGCCCTCCCGCCGCCTGACCTGCTAGGGGGTGCGCATGGGAGGGTGGGGCCGCCCCCAGCCCGGGCTTTGGCGGCCACGGGGTAGGCCCCGAAGCCGGCGGCAATGCAGCCGCACTCCGCGGCGATCCAGGCCACGTAGAAGCGCATGCGGAAGGCGAAGAAGACCGGGACCATGTAGAA